TCCTTCTCCTTATATTGAATTTCTCGTATGACTTTCTATTATGTGGTATAGAATCCTTTTTTCTTTTACGTAAAATTGCTCTTCATAGAGTCCTTTATTACCTTCAAAGTCGTGCATGGAAGAATATCGAAGTTTTCCTTGAAAAAAACCAAATCGTAGACTAATTCGGTATCAACTTAGGTCGCATGTGCGACCTAAAACTATTTATTTTGCCTAGACATGCTTCCGCTGACATCACATGTCCTATGCGTGCACCCTCAAGCACTCAATTTTCATGTTTTTACATTATGATCCTCAAAGATTCATCCTTGCTCAATTAGGTCCCTCAAATTTAAGTATTGTCAATTTTGGTCCTTCTTCTTTCAATATCTTCAACTTTGTTCCTTTAAGTTCTAAAGAAGTTCAATTTAGTCCCAAAAGTTTTTATATCATACACTTTCCCCCCAAAGACCTCCAGATACAAAATTTGGCCTGCGACAAGCTAGGATGAGACCAGCTCGCGAGTGGCTCAACCCATTCTTCACCCCTATATTGCACTAGCTTCTTCCATGTCGCTCCCAAAATCAATAGACAATATTATATAGGGTAAATTCTACTCAAGTCTCCAATCTTTCTTAACAATGTTTTCAGTGAAACTCACAAATGCATAATATTGCGACGAGTAATAAAACTGGATTGTGAGTTTAGTACTCATCTCACGAGAGCTATGTACTTGACATTGATTTATTTTATTAATTATATACATTTATACCATTTGAATTAATAATTGATTGGTTATTTTAACTACAAACTACTACAATTAACGGTGTTGGTTTGAATCAATCTCGATTTCGCTATAGTTTATACAGTTTATTTTCTCCTCTCAATTTAATGACATTATTTAATTCAGTTTGACAATAAGATAAATTTAAAATATTTGACAATTTTTCTAGAGTAAAATCATACATAATTGAAGAATTTCAAAATCTCCTACTCGACTCGTGATTTTTATCACTTTAAATTGACATTTTATCTCTCGATTTAACATGAATTCACTAACAATTCACTGGCCTAATTTTTGAAAATAATCTAATCAACAATAATCATAATTGGAGTAAAAAATCGAAAACTGAAATTAAACAATCAAATTAGGCAACATCATTCGTATTAACTTTAAATTTTAACAGAACATATTCACTGAATACACACACATAATATATGAAATCGACAGCACCCTGATTAACAATAAAGATGGCAAAGAAAGAATAATGAATCCTTGAACATCACTTCGAATCCTCAAGTTTCCATTCCTCTTCAAACTCGTTCCAGCCCTAGGAAAGATTAATTTGTGTTCATCTATGTGTTTTGATCTATTTTTCACCCCCTTTTAATCGCTGAGGCACATAGTATATATAGGAGAAAAGCCTAGGTCTTAAACTCATGCCAATTATAGCAGAAATGCCCTTAAAAACCATAAAATTTGAGTAGGGATGTTATCTTTAATGAAGATGATGCCATGTTTAACTTAGAATAAAATTGACACAGAATATGAAATTAAAGATAATCGACAGAAGTAGGTAAGGCTTCTATGAAAGTTCCTACGACCTCAGAATTGAAATTGCAGAAGAACATGTGGAGACGCCTTAGAGAAAGAACCAATAGAATCTGAAGTAGAACAAGTTGACTTCGAACCTGAAAACTTAGAGATCTTTCTAAGGATAGAGAAATGAGGGAAATAAGGCCACTAAGCAAGTTTAGTCATTCTGATTTTGCATAATTTGTTCTAATGTCTGTTGGGAAAAATTAAAATGAGAAATTGTTACAAGAAGTTCAATTCTCAAGTTAATTTTCCAATTGAGTTGGTCGTTACAAAACTCTAATGGCTATTGTAACATATTTTGTTTTAATGCAAAATTAATAGAAAATCGAAACTCCTTCATCTTAATACTATATGAGGAGTAGTTTTCCTCCTTATCCCACGCACAAAAATTAAGAGTTCTCTCCTCTCTAGTTTTCTCTCTTCCATTTTGCTTCGAGAGTCTTGTTCTTGTTAGTTTACATATTTTTTTGTTCTAATTCAATGATAGATATTCTTAATTCGCCTAAAGTAGTGATGAGATGTTATTCAGCTATTTTCGACCATTTTATCTTGGAAGATACACGCCATCAGCACCCCCCCCCCCCACTACAGTGGGCGGCGAATTTATTTTTAAAAACTATGTCAATATAGACCTTGGTTCTTCCCAATGTACAGCTACTACATCACCAACCAGATTCCCTCTGTTTTATTGTTACTATGGTTATTGTAAAACTTCTTCTATTATTTTATAATTCCAACAATATTACTAATTTCTTTTTATATTTTCCTAACAATGTCTGATAAAGACATTACGAACATAGAACGAACAACCTATAAGGAAGTTGTTAATTGTAAAGGAATGGATTCCTTATTTAAGAATATAACTTAAGATTTTGTACCTAGACCTAAAGACAAGTCATTAGTTGACTGTAAATGACTATATAAGGAAGGAATACATTATAATGAAATATTTTTATCGGCAGTAAAGTACACTACAATTGAAGTTGTTTTAGCTTTAGTGAATCCCTTGGGATGGGCCTTAGAGCAATGGGATGTCAAAACAACTTTTTTACATGAAAATTTAGTGTTTGTTTAGAAGAGATTATTGAAGTGAAAAATATTTTTGGAGAATCCGTGGTTAAAAATATTTATTAAGATCCTATCTAACTTCTTCATTTTTTGCAGGTACAAGGAAAAATGAAGCTCGAGGCAAATATGTTCTCTTCTTTGCACTATAGGGGTTCTTCAATCAAGGTGGAGAATGTTGACTATTGATTAAAGAACCAGGTCATAACTTATGATTTATGGGAGTGCATTTTAGAAGTTCAACTTTAGCATTGATGGAGAAGACTTGCTTTTATACCAGAAGGATTGAGATCCACCATTTATTTGCAAGATTTGATACCAGCTTTCCATTGTAGATATAAAAGGGAAGGCTCCACTTCTAGGGTTCAACCACTGTTCATCTTCATCCTTTCTATTGATTGCACCTAGACTCTCTAACCAATATAGAGTTAGGGAGGATTTCTTTGTGAAATCAATGAGCAATCATAATAGATTTGCGAGGAAAGAATGTTGAATAGTATGTTGTATCATCCTGAGGCCATTGTGATTGTGTTAGTCAGAAATTGAACATTATATAGGTGATAAATTGTAGCTGGAACGTTTGTCACCCTGATTCTTGGTGATTAGTGCAAGGGTAATGCTATTTATCGCATTGAGGATGATCACAATTGGCCTTATCATTTCATGGCACGTCACTTGCCATATAGACCAGACCGGAGATTATCTCAAGTGAGGATAACTAGCATTATTCTTAGTGCGATAAGGGGACTTTAAAAGGAGATGTAAGTAAAGGCTGGCTGAACTTCTTGTCCTTAATAGCGAAAGAATTCTGATGTTATTTACTCTTCTTACACACCATTTATTCTTCTACTGTGCAAAATATAGATCTTTGATACATAGCAAGCGTGCCTTGAAATGATGTACAAATATTATCTTGCACTTTCGTATTTGTCGTTTTTTTTTTTTTTT